AACGTGCGCCTAGTTAAGTAGAGAGCCCGCTTCCCCCACCTCCCCCCATCCCCCCCCCCCCCCCCCTCCGATCTTCCCCCCCCCCCCCCCCCCCCCCCCGTCTGTAACTCCAGTTCCAGGGGATCCAAACCCTCTTCTGGCCTCCGAAGGAACTAGGCACAGACATTGATGCTGGCAAAACACCCACATTTGTCAAAAATAATAAAATAAAACTATGATTAATTGTTAGAGATATTAATGATGATCATTTCTGGAAGAGCAACCAAGAAGTTTATAGGATGGTCACGGTCACGTGCTCAGAAGCCCCCCGCCCCCCACAAAGAGTTAAAACTGTCCCTCGGCTGAGATATGGTGACAACTTAGCAGGTGACTTTAGAGGGATTAGATGGGTTTGTGTGTCAGAGCGCTGGTGAGTAAACGGCTCTTGATATGACGGTCACCATTCCCACCCACCTGACCTTGTTCTTTGGTCTCTGCTGACAGAAAACTCACTTCCTGCTTGTAATATCTCTTGTAAATAACATTTATTGACTCTGTTCCCTGTGTGAACATCCTGAGTACCGGCTGAATAGTGAGGAATAGTGAGAAATATAAGCATGACCTCCTCAGGAATTAAATAAAGCTGCGTTTTAAAAAGCTGTTTGTTTGTTTGTTTATTTATTTATTTATTTATTTATTTATTTATTTATTTATTTATTTATTTTGAGACAGGCAGGGTTTCTATGTGTAGCCCTGGCTGTCCTGGAACTCAGAGATCCACCTGCTTCTGCCTGCTGAGTGCTGGGATTAAAGTCGTGGCTTTAAGCTTCATTTTTAAGTGTGTGTGTGTGTGTGTGTGTGTGTGTGTGTGTGTGTGTGCTTGCACATGTGTGTTGCATCTCTTCAGAGGTTTACTGTCAGTTCAGTGCTGAGAGTAGAGAACAGGAAAGGGAGCTCATGCTAGCAACAGAGTGCTGCCGTTGTCATAAAGCAGTCTCTTAAGGACAAATGCCTGTGTTGGGACTTTAATCAGCTTATTCTAGCCTCATGTTGTTTTGTTTTCTGAGACAGGGTTTCTCCTGTGTAGCCTTGGCTCCTTGGCTGTCCTGGAGTCACTTTGTGGACCAGGCTGTCCTGGAACTCACAGAGATCTGCCTGCAAGTGCTGGGATTACAGGCGTGCAAACACAGATGTGTTTCAGTTAAAGGTTAACAGGGACTCATGGGTATTGCGTCCTCTGGTTGTTTGTAGTGCTGTGGATTTTACAGGATTATTATTTTGCTGCGTGATGGGAGCTGTTGCATAGAAGTCCTTTTAATAGGTGGCTATGTAACTACGCTGTTTTTAAATGTATTGCTTGGAGGTACGGGAGCTTTAGGAGAAATGGCAGGAAAGCAGGTTTGGGAGTGGAATGTACTTCACCAGGAAAGAACCTCCCACTTCTGTCAGGGTGCTTCTGGCATCACTGTGGTTTGGGGCAGCATCCATCCTGGCACAGGCTGAGTGCTGGAAGCTGGGGGGGCTTTTGCTGGGAAGGGGTACATCTGCACAGGAAAAGCTGAGACCCTGGGGGCCACAGAGAGCGGAAGGGGCAGGCTGTCAGGTCTGCCCTCCTGCTGTCTTAAATAAGTGAAAGGTTTGGGGACGGACAATGTAGCTCAGTGGGTAAAGGCACTTCCTGGTTTGTGAGCCTGCCGGCCTGAGCTCATTCCCAGCATGCACGTGCTGGAGGGAGAGAACCTGCCCCTGCAGGCTGCATCCTGACTTACTCCAGACCCACAGTTAGTAGGGAGATCAGGAGCTCAAGGCCAGCCTGAGCTACCCAGCAAATGCCATGCCAGGACATTCACCTATACTTCTCTTTCAAAATTTGTATCGAAACAAATTCTGTAAATGTGGTGTTTCTGAAATATTATCATACACTTTGTACATTAATGTTAATCATAGATCTTCCCTCCTTTTCGTCACCTTTTCTCCACTCCTCTTTCTTCCTCCTTCCTTCCCTCATTGAGACAGGTCTTGCTATGTTAACTTGTAACCCAATCTGGCCTTGACTGACTGATCCTCCTGCCTCTACTCCCCCCTCCTTTCCCCCAAGAGCCTCAGTGTCTTAGGCCTAGGTTTTCATTTAACCTACTTTGGGTTAAGTTCACTGCAGAAAACACTGTGGGAGCCGGGTATGGTGGTGCACACCTTTAAAGAGGCATCTCTGTGCGGCTGAGGCCTCTACATGGAGCTCCAGACCAGGGTCTACCGAGTGAGACCCTGCCTCGACACGCCGGCCAACAAACAGAAACCCACCGCTGCAAGCGAGAATGGGCGGCGTGGCAAGGCTCGGTAGGCAAAG